TCTTGCCCACAGGCAAAATCAGCACCTCCTCGAGGACGTTCTAGCCTTGCACCGCGAGTTGCAACGATCGGCGCCGCCCCTCCAACCAGGAGTGCCAGACGACCTGACCTAGAAGCATTCAAGCTCTAGGACGTACTCGGCTAGGTCCGCATACCAAGCTCAGTTTCAAGGCAGGACGGCGACCAACTTCGACCACTTGATCTGGAAAGCCTGGGCACCGGGGAAGATCAAAATCTTCTCGTGGCTACTGCTGCGTGACAGGCTCTGGTGCAACGACAGATTGCAGAGAAGGGGCTGGCCGAATGGCTACTTCTGCCAACTCTGCGTCAGAAGCCTCGAATCATCGCACCACCTGTTCTGGAACTGCCCGGAGTCTAGACAGGTCTGGACTGCGATCGGGCAATGGCACGGCTGCTCCGCCCTCTCCCCTGCGGATTGCTGGAGCCGCAGAAACTCCAGCACGATCATCCACAACATTTTGGCGCGCACTGATCCATCACGACGACATGGTGCGCGGTCAATCCTGCTGCTCACTTGCTGGGAAATTTGGCAAGAAAGAAACAACTGCACTTTTCGAAGCAACCTCCCGAGCGTGCGAGAAATCATCAGGCGCATCCGAGACAGCATCGAGCTCTGAAGGATCACAGGTGCAACGTGCATCGAGAGCCCCTTCGGGGAGCCACCCTGAGAGAAATTTTCCTTCTCCTGTACTAGGGTTTTCGGCCGCATGTGGCTGGCCCTACGCACTTGATCCTCGGATCTTCACCTCCCCTTTGTTTTCCCGCTGCTTCCTGCTATAATCAATGAAAAGCCAGCAATTGCTGGATCTTTCAAAAAAAAAAACTATGTGACAACAGTATCTTCCTTACATTTACACTCGATCCAAACTAAAAAAATGAAACAAAGTGCAGTGAGAAACTAATCTAATAGACAATTTGAATGTTATATAAGCTCTGCTGAAGAGTGGGGATCTGTCTGACACATTTTATTAACCAAAATACAATAGATGTATTCACCAAAAGACTGCCATGTTTAAGATTTATAAATCCATAACAGCAACAACTGAAGTGGGTCTTTGAAATTTATACTATAGCACCTTCCAATAAAATCAAAGTTCATCCTATTGCATCCAGGAAAATTATAGGAAACTTCTTGCTTATTGGAAGTCCTATTAGCTGCTTCCTAATAAATACTCCCTCTATATACTAATATAAAACCTTTTATAGATCTCTAAAGTAGAGATCTATAAAAGGTCTTATATTAGTACCACAGTGAACATCCACATTTCCATCATATTCAGCAATAATAGGCATGTATAGGCAACAGTTCCAGAGTTCAAAAGATAAGCATATTTGCAATCATATTCACACTTTTGGCAATGGATCTTTGAATTAACCACAAGAAAACAAAAACTGAAGAATGAGTGATTCAGAGAAGCAGTTTTCTGTGAACTCCTACTTTTGAATTGTGGACACTACAAGTTTTACAACGAACAGACTGAATGAGATGCATGTATACCAGCGAGGAGGGCGAGGTGGAGATTGACGTGGGCTATGGAGAAGCCCTAGTTTCCAATGTGGGCGTCGGCGGACTTGAAGTAGCAGGTGGCGGCAAGGGAGTGTGGCTGCATATACCAAAGGCTCATCTGCAATGTACCCAACAAAGGTACAAGTCATTAAATCAATGAACTAACGGCCCTAAAATAACTAAACAATTGAATTGCAAATAGATAATTAGCAAATACTACTTCTAGTTGAGTTTAGCTTATATATCCAAGAGATAGAAGTAGCATGCTATAACCAAAAATTCTGGAAAACAAAAAGACGCCTGTAAAAATTAGAGGATATGTTATTCAATACCTTGTATGGTGTATGTGTGACTTAAATGCGTGTTTACAACCTTCAAAAGAAGGAAGGTAACCACTGCCTGGCGTATATCTGAGTAATGCTAAGCAAGCTATGACAGTGACACCTAGAACAGATAAGAAGCAGATCATCATAGTGAAAGAAAGACCACAAAGATATAGCAGCATCATGATGTTGCTTCTCTCCATCGGCTCTGCACCAGATACCTGCAGCATAAAAATACTCAGAAAATGATGGCATAAGAAGGTTACCCAGCAATAGAAAAGCAAACTAATTATAGTCCATTGTATCTACTCCCTCCGTTCCCAAATACTTGTCTTTCTAGACATTTTAAATGACTACTGCATACGGATGTATGTAGACATATTTTAGAGTGTAGATTCACTCATTTTGCTCCGTATGTAGTCACTTGTTAAAATGCCTAGAAAGACAAGTATTTAGGAACGGAGGGAGTACTTGGTTAGTTTAATGCTGATCCTTGGTTAAATTGATGTACTAAATAATTAAGAACATAGACATCTGATTTTTGTACAATTTAATTATTCTGTTGTATGCAAGTTGGGCTTGCTTGCTAAGACCAAGAAACTTCCAATAAATTTATTTGTACTAATTGACTCCATGATACTAACTGTAAGCTATTGTAGTTGATATATATGTTATACATACATGTTTAGTAGACACGTATTGTGAGTAGATAAAGTTTGGTTTGTATTTCTTTACTTTAAGCAGAAAATATGGCCTTGCGTACATGTATTTCCATTCTCATACAATGGGATATATTAAAAGGAATAATCATGTGTATGCTCTAATATCTTATGCACAGTGAACTAGAGCACCTCTTCTAATTTTAGTTGTAAGTACACGAGTCGTTTTCGAGCAGGACATATTTTCTTCAGTCTACCTCTCTGTTTTAGGACTAAAATCTATGGTTTTGTTTACTTTCATATAACCTGCACTCATAGACATAATGCTAACTGAATACACCATACCTAATCCAGAAACCTCTTCTGAAGTTGTTGGGAAAGCAAGAGAGATCCCAGATGCAAAGCCAAGCTAATCCATGTCAAACCGCAGTAAATAATGCATAAGCGAAACAGTGTTCAAAGACAATCCAGTGAACTTACATCCTTAGCTCGGTTGGATCTTGCTTTGGTATACTCTTGCTCTAACAGGAGCAATGCTAACTTCCAATCATCAAGAGGAGCAAAACTGGATAAAAATATAATTCACCGCAATAGTAAAGCAATACAGAGTCAGAGAAAAAAATTGAATGCACGGTTGAACATCCTACCCTCTAAAAGTAATAAAATCCCCTATTGAAACCTTTCCCTTTCAAAGCTAAACGACATTCAAGGCGATGCTTCCAGTAACAACAAAATCATGGGCAGTAGATACTAATTAAGGATCAAATATCAAACATGAAAGAAAGTATAATTCTAAAAGAAAATTGGCACAGAACATCATCAAAGCTCTGTAGGATTTGGCATGAAGGCAACACAAAGTTGAGATAACACGAAGTGATTTTAACCAAGGTAGACACTTCAGAGCAATAACATCAGGAAAGCCAAGCTATGGTTATTCCAGTGGAGAACACAAAAAACACCAACCAAAATATTAGCATAGCACATGGGCTCAAAAATCAAGCAACATCTTCCAAGAACATTTATTCATCCTCTATATCGATGATGGTTAAACACCAATAAAACAAAGCCTTTCTGCAAGGTAAGTGGTATAAGCATTAGAGTCAAGTTCATCAACAAATCTATAAGCCCAAGCCTAGAACAAATTCTAGAAAAGCGTAACAATAGCCTGGTTGTTAGAAATTAACTATAGTTAAAACCCACTAAATATGGTTGGATATAAATTAGAAAAAATTTGTTTGCTTAATAACTACAATCTCTACCACATCAAGTCTTCTATGTCTGAATATACGATATTTTTCAGAGAGTTTATGTTCTGGTTCCCTAATTTTCTGATGTTCCACCCACTGTGAATCTCGAGACTCATGCTAAAACTATGAAACCTGATAGGGGCTTACCAGGGGACAAACAGGCAATGTCTTCAATTCTCTTGGCAGCATGAACATTCTTCAAATATAACGTCTGTTTTGGGTGCTTGCATCGTGGCTCCACCAATGGACACCCTATGGTTTACACCACCAATTGAGTGTCTAGGTGACTTCTTTATACTTTGAGTCTTGGATGGATTTTTTCTTAAACCGTAGAGAGCTTCCTGCTCAGCTTTGAGTTAATCCTGGAGCTTCTTCTGATCCTGCAGTTATGCACATTTGAGGAATTCAAACTTTTGACTGAAATGAAAAAATGATGCCGTAAGGAATTTAGATAGTAAAATGCAACTGCACAGTACTCTTTGTCTTTTCTTTCCTGTTCTTTGTCCTGCCAAACGATCATGTATTCATCCAGCATTGAGAGAAGGAGTACCTGCAAAATAGTTCACGAAAAAACCTCAAGGAAGAAAGAAAAACAAACACCATTTAGAAATGAAGTATCAGTAAATAGACGTACGCCATCATATCATGTGAACTCTTCCTCTTTCATTCTCCGAAGCTATGATTTTTGTGGTCAAAACATCTACCATTCCTGCCCAAGGTGAAGAAACTATAAATCACATGAAGTGGTAACAAAAAATAAGCAGTACATCATCTGAAACTAAGGAGTACCCAGAATCTTGTCAACCAAAATCCGATCTTTCTCGGCCCTCTTAAACGTAAGATGTGCCCCACTCCCAGAGCATTGTAACGATTGTCATCCTATATATTCCTGGTAAAGCAAACAATCAATAGTCACAAAAAAAGGAGCAACAATTATCCGAAAAACAAACATGTGAAGCACAACTGAATATAAAATTGGCCAGCATTCATACTTTGTTGTAATCTTCTAGCCAACAACGAGCTAAATCATGTAAACCTGACTCCCCTGATCCATACTTCGAGGAAATCATAACAACACCCTTTGATGCAACACTCACTTAGAACCTTCAGGGGACATGCAAATTCAAGCCAACAATGTATCCACCACTTGACGTTGACGCACCAAAACTGCAACTATGACTACTGGTGAGCATCTCACCACGCGAGCTACAATTTTTTCCCCAAGAACATGGTTGCCCACTGCCCTATGGACGCCACGAGGATTTTGATATGCCACCCATGCCGTTCAGCCTGCCATTGGGTGCTGCCGAGACCTGCACCGTGATCCAAATTCAAACAATAGAACGTCACCACAGCGACACAGCCAAACGGTACAGCCTACAGAGAGATGCAGGTCATACCTTCTTCTGTGCCCGGTCATGACGCCACGCCTGCAAATTCGCCAGGCGCCCACAAGCACCGTGTCGGCCCTGGTCCACTGCTTCTGCATCTGGTCCGCCACGCCCGCGCCTTCCTCGAGCGCGACCCTGCTGGTGCCGATGTTGGTAGCGCTGGCGTCGGGCTCGCCGCCGATCTACCCGTGCGTGCAAACGGTGATCCCCACCTCGTCCTCGTCCTTCGCCTCGTATCGCAGCGCCTCGTCGACCCGGACGCCCCCTTCCCACTGGCCCGCCGCCACCATGTTCTCCTCCTCCCGTCGGAGGAGTCGCAGGTCTGCATGCTTGCCGCGCGGTCCCGGCACGGCAGCTCCCCCTGGCCGCGGCGCAGATCGGGAACCACCGCTGCGGCCGGGAGTGCATGCCCTCGCGCTCGACGGCCTCAGTGATGCAGTAGAGCGGGCAGGATACCTCGATGAGGAGCGCCATGAGGCGTCGGAGCCGCGCTGGCATCCAAGACAGCGTAGTGCGCTGGCGACGGTGGCGGCTAGGGTTAGCCATGGGCGTAGGAGAAGGGGCTTGATGTACGTGGGGGAAGGGGGAGGTGGGGGACGTGGGGCTTGATGTGCTTCTCCGCTTCCAATGACTTTATTTTTTTTATCTCGACACAGTAAAAACGAGAACGTGGCTCTCACCAGCGTTCGCCCTTTGCGCCACTCTTATTGGGTTTAATTGTCATTTGAATTAAGTACAGGTTCGTAATTTACCAGAATGGTTAAGCCTTATCCTGTCATTTTAGATGTCTACTGTTTGCCACTACCCTTTTAATGGGCCAGGTCATTTCCTACATATTTCCGTCATGTTCAGTCTGGAATATCATAACAGTGAATTTATTTTGAGCTGTACATAATGTTATATACATGAGAATTGCTCCTATGTAAATCATACTAGAGCAGAAAACATAGTACGGATGAACTGGTTACAAAAGTCACCAACATATCATAGATGGATGGCAACAAAACCATTCCTGACTCCCTCAAATACAAATCTATAATATTTTTATTTTTCTGAAAACACAGGCTCTATATTCTCACCCGAAATGCCAATCAGTGTTTCATTTATTAGCCCAACCAGAAGATTTGGGTAGCTAAAATGGGTAACTACGCATGAGAAGAACATACTATAGTCATTTTATTTTGAAATTTACATGGTCAAAACTTAAAGTATAAGCCATTTCTATCACAAAGCCTATATGAAGAACGAAACTTTGGACTTGACTTAGCAGTGCAGTCTGAAAGCGGATTTTGTTTCTCTGCGCATGGTTACTCCCTACCGATTTAAACTCTGCAGGTTGCGTCGGTGCATATGCTCATTTGGGCAACTTGGTTGGGCTACCGCAAATGTCCATGTAACACTTGCAGTATAGTCGGGTAGAAGCTGTAAACTTATTAGTTGTACCTCACATGCGTACTCGGTAGTGTATTAACATAATTGAAGTAGTCCATTGTGTGTGGCAAGTACAATATTAATTGCATTGGCTTCATTGACTCTAGCTATTGTACTGTTAAAACCCAATGCAGTTTTTTTTAGAAATGGAGGAGGACCCCCGGCTTCTGCATCTGGACGATGCATGCAGCCACTTTATTAATTATTCACATAAGACCTTACAAAGTCATACAATAGTAAGTCGAAGCCACCGTCTAGGCAACAAAAGTGTCTCTACTCCTATCCAAATGATGAAGGGATGCTGATAGTCTGGGCCTAATACCAAACAGACCTCGCAGCCATACCTAACATCTAAGACCTGAGGTCCCAACCAGGACGCCTGCCGGGTATGGGCACCCACAAGTCCGGCGAGCTCCTCAACCAGGACGTCTGCCGGGTATGAGACCGCCGCAGCCACCTGCCACCAATCCATCTTCAGAGCTGTACTGCTGCATGAACCTTGCCCGGTCTAGCTGCCGCCGACGCCACCACGACGCCAGACATTGTCGACCTCCTGCGCGAGTCCATCATCGCACATCAGACGCCTAATCTCCAGAGCGCCGTGCCATCGAGATCCGACACCATCAATGTGTGTGGTGAAGCACCGCTCCTCCTCTTGTCACCTCCAGCCATCACTTGCTCCAAAACGATGCCCCCATGAGGGAAAGCGCTACTAAGAACGCCATCATCGTCCGATCCGGGAGACCCAGATCTAGGGTTTCCCCCGGAGCAGCTCGAGCCTGATGAAGCAAACTGCAACGACGTTGCCTCGATAAGGGAACGACATCTAAGGCGCCGCCATCATCTGCCATGACCGTAGTCGGCGCGATTTTCATCGGTAGTTGCTCCACTAGACGTGCGCCGCCAGCGTCGCTGATCCCTTCAACCGGAGTAAGCTCCAAAACGATGCCCTGAAGAGGGGTTACGACGCAAAAGCACCGCCATCACTCGATCCCAAGGAGATCTAGGGTTTTCCAGGAGTTGCCCGCGTTGTCAAGGACCAAACAAGGGACGAATCTCTGCGGATCCGCCCAATTGCCAACGAGCCGCACCCACCACCGCGCCGACGGCAATCCAATGACCAAGGCCCACTGGACCCAGATCCGGCCGTGCCGCCACGAACCCATCTGGTCGCCGCCGCCGTCCCTGGCAACCCCGACGCACCAGACCATGAAGCCGCCTGCCGCGGAGGAAGAGAACCGCCGAAGCGCCGCCACCACCCGCCGTGGCGTCCGGCCCGGTGCCACGCTCTGGCACGGGGGGCCGGCCCGCGCCAGCCCCACGAGCGGGAGGACCACGAGTCCCCGCCGCCGCCGGCAACAGCAAGGCTTTGCCTGGCCGTGCCCTTGGGCGGCGGCGAGGGAGGAGCAGGAGATGTGGAGACCGGCGGCGATGAGATCTGGGAGCCACCCGGCTGCCACGCGGGGGGCGACGCGGGGGGCATGCGATGGGCACGCGACGTGAACACCGAAAGTTGTTATCTCAAGGACATCTTGTGACCCAATGCAGTTAATTATTACTATTTGCCCCTTTTTAATCTTTTTATTGCATTGCATCGTACTACTTGCTTGAGAAGGATAACGTTGCCCACTGCTACCGATTACCATAAAACATTCTAATGTGAATCATCACAATGATCTAGCAGCGCAACAAAGCGCGTGATTGCATCTAGTCTGTTTCATGCTTACCAGAAAGGAAATGTGCTCGGTAGACGCGTCCTAGTTTCTTACTGCCTGTCTCCAGTACTATCTCCTCTCTTCTTTCCTAGACTTGAGTATATTTAGCAGTGAGTAGCTAGTACGTAGCAACAATCAACTACTCTAAGTATATACCAACCAAAAGGGAAAAAAAAGACTCACGGAAGCGCTAGCTAGCGACCCATCCACTCTCCTTCTCCTCCCTGCATATTTAGCAACGAGCCAACGATGGACTACCATCATCAAAAACGAAAAAAGACTCGCAGCAGCGCCCGTCCCAACTGCCGCAACTCGACGAAGAAGCCCTGGCGCGCGGGGGTTAGGTGTTCTTCTTCAACTCTTTTCTCTCCTTCTCTTCTTATTGTCCGTACCCATGGACTCACCATTTTTCTGCCTGTTATCAAAAAATCAGGAAAAGAGGCCTCTCGATGGCGGGGGACGGATCAGGCTAGCCTTGGCTCCACAGTGCGCATGCGGAAGCCGACGTGACGACTAGTTCGTCTCTCTCCATTCTCGAGAAAATGGACTTGCAGCAGTGCCCGTCCCAGCTGTCGGCAACTCGACGAAGAAGCCCCGACGCGTGCGGGTTAGAGCAACTCTAATGGAAGGACCCGTTTTGTCCGTTTGAATCATCCGGACAGAAAACTTGGCCCAACAGGGCTGTTGGAATAAGCCACAACGTCTGGTGCAGTCGGACTCGTCGGGCGCGTTGGGTACGCGTGGAACATGTGGGACGCAGCACCGTGGCGAGTGTGCGTGCTAGTGGAACTGGGCATCGGTTCGTGGCCATATCAAGTCTGTAGGTGTGCGTTGTGTACATAGTCTGAGTTAGACTCTAGTTTGTTAGTGCATGCAAGATTGGTCAAGTCGTGGAGTTAGTTAGTGGCCGTGAGAAATGGCCGTAGAGTTAGCCCATGCATTAGTTAGTTATTAGACTAGCTGTGCATGATGGGCGTGACGTGAGTTTAGAATTAGTTGATAGTGGATATATTCTTGTAATGTCTATATAAAATGAGTACGTGAATGAAAGCCGATGCGGGCTTGAGAAACAATGTAGCCACGGTGTGATCACCAAGGGAGCCTCTTGGCAAAGTTTGTGTGTTCTTCCTTAATGCATGTGTGAGTGGGTGTGTGTGGAGTTTCTTCTTGTGTGAGGCAAGAGGTAGAAGAAGAGCGGCGTCGTGCGAGGCGGCGCCAACATTTGGTATCAGAATTGGTTCATCTTGGGCGTCTTTCTCCTTGCCGGAGGCGTGCCGGCGGTGGGGGAGTTCGCCGGCTACTGCGCGATGCTTCGGGCCGTGTGTCGGTCTATGGAGGAGCGCGGCGCGGCGAGGAGGCCGCGGTGGCGGCGGCACGGTAAGGAGGCCACGGAGGACCTGTGTGGTGGCGGCTTCAACGACACACAACGGCATGAAGGTGCCGCGCTGCGGTTGAGGCCGCAGCGGTGCAGGGCAATAAGCCGTGGTGGCGAGCCGGGCGCGACCAGTGCGTGTTATGGGTGCGCACTGGACGCGTCGGGACCGCAGGCGCGCGTATGAGCGTGCGGTTGACGTTGGGACGAGCCGTATGTCGCCGTTGTGCTCGAGTCCGTGCTCGAGTTCGGCTACATCCTTTCGGCGTTTGTCGCTGGCGGCTGCCATGGCGGACGTGGAGGCGGCGCACGGTGAACGTCTGGTGCGGTCGGGCTCGTCGGGCGCATCGGGTGCGCGCGGGACGTGCGGGATGCACTGGTGCGGTCGGGCTCGTCGGGTGCGCGCGGGACGTGCGGGGTGCAGAGGGACGCCAGGCGGGTGTCGCCGGCGGAGAAGGAGCTCGGCGTATGTCGCTGGAGACGTGACGGAGTACGGTGCGACAGGCGTCAGTGCGTCAGGTCGGGTCCGCGGGCTGGGTCACGGTCATGGCGAGGACATCGACATAAGCTACTCCGTGACGGCGAGGTCGTGGCTTAGGATGTATGTGTTGGAATAAGCCACGACGTCTGGTGTAGTCGGGCTCGTCGGACACGTCGGGTGCGCCTGGAACATGTGGGTGCGTTGTGTATGTAGTCTAAGTTAGACTCCAGTTTGTTAGTGCATGCAAGATTGGTCAAGTCGTGGAGTTGGTTTTTTTAGCATCAGTATAGACACGAGCGCTCATATACACATGCATACACTTACCCTTATAAAGGCACACACGGAGCCGGCATATCATCTTAAGATTTACGAAGTCATCATAGACGCCTCGTCGTCGATGAAAACGTCTCCTTTCACTGAAAGCGCATCCGCCGGAAATCCTAAAATAAATTCAGGAATAATGCGAGCACCAGGA